GCGGGGCCTAGGTCCGTGGGCGGGGCCTAGCGCTGTAGGCGGAGAGTCGTGAGGGTGGGGCTGGCCAGCTCCCTGCTCCGCCTTTGGCACAACTGGCATATGAGGAATGCTGAAGTTAACAATTGTGAAAAAGGAGGGAAAGAGTGAAAATGCAGTGCTGGCGTGTTGGGAGGATTCTGACACTCGTGTTCACTGTTGCTTGGAGGTTAAGTTGGTTCAACTTTTCTGAACAGCCGTCAACTCGCATTTACTGAGCACCTACTATGCGCTGGGTGCTGATCCCACAGCTAGCAAAAAGACAGGTAGAGCTTACTGTCAAGTAGGAGAGAGACAGAGACAGGAAGCAAAAAATTACAGAGATGAAGGCAGAGACCTTTAGTTCTTGGAGAGCATCTGAGGGAGAAACGTGACCAAATCAGACCAGAGAAGGCTTACCAGAGAGAACGGAAACAGAGCAGACCTCCAAAACATCTGTCCTCCAAGTGCAGGTCAGGACCGGCAGCATCAGCACCACCGGGGTGCTGTTAAAATGCAGACTCCTGGGTCCCACCCCAGAGTTGCTGGGTCAGAAACTGGGGGTAAGGCCCAGTGATCTGTGCACAGGAGGTTTCGATGCTCAGAGAGCAACTGCTCTCAGGTATGTGTGGAAAGTGAGCAGAGGAAAGGGGCGGGGGAGAGAGTTCTAGGAAGAAGGACAAGTTTGCACGAAAACCCCATGGTGTGCAAAGACCCCAGAGGAGTGGCTGGAGAAGAGCCAGTGGGAGGGAGCCTGGTTGGAGCTGACACTTACGAGGTTTCGGAGGCTTTAGACTAGGCTGACCTCGATCCTGTACTGGAGGTGCAATGCCTGAGACCCACCATACTGTTTTAATTTTAATTTCTTTAAAAATCAGAAGAAAAGGAATATAATAATAAGCAATATAAAATAATAAATCCAGCCTAATCACACTGCTCTTTATACCAATGCAGTCATAAAATATAATCTATTGTATTATTATTATATGGAGGAAGGGGTTCATAAAACCAAAATTGCCTAGGGCCCGTGAAGTCCACAGTGTGGCCCTGGGTTGTGGGACAGTTGGGCCACAGTTCCCATGGCCTCTAAAACCGCTGAGCTTAGATGTTCACCTGGCGCGTCTGCCAGGGCTGAGAGAGTCCAAACCAAAAGCTTGATGACCTCTGAATAATAACAGTGAGGGCTCCTCACCCACATTACTGTACCTCATCCTCTGAGCAACGATGTGATGTAAGGTTATTTCCATAGAGGTATTAACACCCTCGCTTTCCAAATTAGGAAATAAACAGTGTCTTGCATAAGTGCACACAGCTAGGGTTCAAGGTTAGATCGTTCTGACTTCTGAGTTCATTTGTTTTGACATCACCTCTCAGGAGCAACTGAGCTGTGAATTATAGGGCTCTGATTTTGAACGAGGGGATAAATTTACCCTTCATCCAATGTCTGTTGCATACTTACTGTGTTCTGGGCATGTCTAAAACGTGACACCTTGACCCTTAAGGCCTCTTAGTCTGTTGGGGGTGATAATAGACATGACTCAGCTCTAGCAATGCACCGTGTGTTCTCAGCTCTGTAGGAGAAGGGAAGGGAGAGTGGTTCAGAAGATTGAATTGGGGACTGAAAATTATTGTCTGGGGATTTTAATTCCTCCTCTTTTAGACATCCTTTGATTGAATCCTTGATTTGAAGAGAAGGAAACCGAGGGTCAGAGTAGTCCAGTGCCTTCCCCATGGTCACACAACAGGTGAATTGTGGAGCCAGGTGTTGATCCCATCGCATTCACGGGGCTGCAGTTGGCACTGGTGAAGGTTTTGAGGGATAGGTGGGATTTCAAGAGGCCAAAGTGGGGGAGATGACATTCTGGGCAGAGGGAACAGCAGAAGCCAAGCATGAGGGAAGAGTCTTGTTCAGAGATGCAGGTAGTGTAATGCAGCTGGAACAGAAAGGGCATTTTGCAGAACAGAGCCCTTGGAAACAGGTGAAAAGGCTTTTTTTTGGAAGCCACAGCAACATGGAGGTTGACCTTCTTTGTAAAGAGAGAGGAATAACAGGTCTGGGTTTTCAGGAAGATCTTTGTGGAGTCAGGGTGGGCGGGTTAGAAGCAGGGAGAGACTGGAGCTAATCAGGGGGCTCTTCCAAAAGTCTCGGCTCAAAGAACCAGGAAAAAAAGATGCTTTAAACCTTCTGAAAAATCCCCATACGCCAGACATCAGAAAGTCAGAGTATAGCAGGGGATGGTCTTAATGTAAACAGCAGGATCGAGATGCTTTGCTGTGTACCAAGGGTATAGGCACAGCATCTTCTTTTAAGATCAGAAAGATTGCTGTAAAAATACTTAGTTTTTATGGGTTTTGTAAGGCTGGGAGCCATAGCACATGAAACTTCACAAGGTAAAATGCATCATAATAAGATTATATATACATGGTGTATACATACATGTATGTGTGTGTCTATATCTCCAAACCTGCAAAGCAACATAGGTTTCAAGGTTAATGGGCAATGTCTTTAGGGAAAAGAACTTGTCTCTGTAGCTTTTGTACGCAGATCTGTTGGTAATGACATAATTCTAGAAAATGTGTTGAAGAGAAGCAAAGCTATGAAAAGGTTCAGGACAGCATGAAAAGCCAACACATCACTGTGCAGTCCTCTCAGAAGAGCAGCTCCTAGGGGCCAAGGTGGACCTTATCCTCAGTCCACCCACCTGGAACCTTCATTTGAGCAGCACCTGACAGCCAAGCCTGGGTGCTGCAGAGATAAAGAAACTCCAACCTGCCTTGGAGAGCAAAGGATATCTG